AATTAGTAATAGTGAGTATTTCCTGCCCCAATAAATCTCTTATTTAATAGAATAATTTAAATGAAGCTGAAAATATTATCTAACCCATTATAATATGTACTAATTAATAATAACACACACAGGTTATACCAACAATTATCATAACAGAGCACATATAATAAGTCAATCACATTTCTACACTGATCTGTATATCATAATACATGTATTATATTACATTAATCAATATGTCAGAATACATGTGTCATAATTATACTCGTAGATGTATTATAACACGTATATCATAACAATACCAACTGAGATGTTACAATGCATATATTATAATAACACAATTTCTATACTACTTCAAATTCATCATACTTTCATATATATTGCCCTTGAGATTCCTTGAAGACTTCTGATGAATCCACATTTTATCATGTTTTTACTTGTCTTTTTAGTTTTCCTTAATAGAAAAATTAGACTTATATAGTGTAAATAGTACAAAAATTACATTTTGAGTAAAAATCATAGGTTTATTAAGTTTTAGTTAATTTGCATTTAGTTACATAGATATAGATTGCAATTTTAATTTTCTTAATAATTTTGCAGAGTCCCCAAGTTAATTTTTAAGAAATCTTGGCCCTTGGATGAAGGTTGGCTTCAAAGTAGCCACTTTCAAGAGCAAAAGTGGCAATTACAGCAAGTTTGGAAATTGAAGGACCCAAAGTAGCCACTATTGCCTCTCATAGTGACTACTCCAGGGAGCTCCAGGACGTCGTTTGGGAAGCATTTCTGCGCGTGGACACTATTGGCTCTCATAGTGGCCACGCACACCAGAGTAGCCACTTTCAACACAAAAAGTGGCAACTCCAGAAAAGTGACAAACCTTTCATCCTGCGCGTGGACACTCTTTTGCCCCAAAGTGGACACTTTCAAAGCAAAAAAGTGGACACTTTACTGACATGACATCCAATATAAATAAGTTTTAGGAATTAGGGTACGGGACTTTTACACTTTACACATTTTTTTCCTTTGCCAAATTGAGACAATTTCCCAGAACATTGGAGTCTTGGGTGACAGTCAAGGGTCCTCTATAGGTTTTAATTTCCAATTTCCCTTTTGATTTTTGTTAAATTTACATTAATACTGCTTACGTTCTTGCATTTATTTCTTTCATTTGTGAAGCCCATCCACATGGAGGGCTAAACTTCCTTGTAATTCCTAGTCAATGCACATAAATCTTGAATTCTTGGGATTAATTGTAATACAAATCTTTCTTTCCTTGAATTTATTGACCCCAATCTTTGAATGAAATGGAATTTGCATAAAGGGAACATTGCTTAATGAACCCTAAATTACCCAACGAAATTCTAATTCAAAATTGCTTAATTTTGATTAATCTTTGAGGTTGCTTAATCTTAGGGATAGAGATTGGAGCCCATTAAGATGCTTAATTTTAATTGGGATGTTAAAGTTAATTTTCGCTTGTTAGATTAACTTAATTCAAGGGAAAGAAAGGGGATTATTGAATCATTTAAAATAATAATGATGGAACTCATTGATTGACTAGGAATTACTCATTTTAATTGATTGAATTTCATTAATTCACATTTCTTTCTTGATTTAAATCTGGAAATTAACAAAAATTCCCCCCATTTTACTTGCTTTAAAATCCATGTTTACACTTGTTCGATGTATGTTCCCAACCAAAAATTCCCTGGAGACAACTTAGGACAACATTTTTTTCTTTGCATATTTGATGAGGATTAACGACAATCTTTTGCATGACGAGTAGCTAAATTCTTTTCATCAACTTCATAACATAGATAGTTGCGGGATAGCTACTGCGCACAGATACAATGTATACCAACAAGGCCTTTTTTTAGCAAAAGTGTGGTAAAGGGTTTAGGTCAACAAATGAGTGTGAGGCTTGTGGTATCTTTTCCCTCTATTTTCATTAGTTATGCACATTTCTTAGAAAAACATCTACCACCCTCATTTCTCCCAGATTTTCAGAATCACTTATGTCTTCCACACCCTAGTGTATCTCTGTGACTATCTATACTTATTCTTAACATTTTTCATATCATTGCCCATATCATTTTCATCGGTTAACATGTCATAATACCTGAGTTATGATTTATATAAATCTATGTATTTCAGTTCATGTATTATAAACACACCTTTAGATGTATTACAATACCTGTATCATAATCTCGCCTATCAGTCAGTTATGATTGACGTATTATAATCACACATATCATAATTCTATAATCATGTCATATTATCTCCCTTATATATATTCTTTCAAGATCAGTCAAAAACTTCCCTCGATAATATGAATTCACCCAATTTGACATACATCAGCTATCAAAAAACATTTATATTTATTGTATCATATCAGTCTAACACAGAGAACCATCATCCAATGTCACACTACATAATCAATACAATGTGCTGAAGGTCGGACACCTTCAGACTCAATCCAAACGTACAATTTAATATACATACTTTCTCTGTATTAATAAAATCGCCTAGCCTAAAGTTCAGTATCTTTTAATACATATGTTACACCGAATAATATTCCAATATTGATTGTACATATATAATAGTGGTAAAATCTTAAAACTCATCATAAAATTAGTTACTCATGCTCAAGATTCCATTCTTAGTACTAAATTCTTAAAAATCATTAGGGTTCTATTACTCAAAATAAAAATATTGGAGTTAGGGTTCAGAAAAAAATTTCTTTTTAACACTATAGTTTCAAGAAATCCTCTAACTTTGCTTTTGGAATCAAGTACTCAAAGTTCAGGATCAAATTCCCCTACTTGGAAATAGGTTCCTCAGACCGAGTTTCTTAAAGATTCAAGGGAGAGGTACAACGGTCTCGATAGAGGATATTGTTTGAAGGATGAAGTTTTCGCTAAGTGTTTCAAAGTAGACCTCCTTTTAGAAAGAGAAAATAAGAGGAAACGAATAAAACTAGAGATCTGAACTCTGAGAAACTTACTTGAATTCGAATGGAATAGAGTTTGAGCTTGGATCTGAAAGAAATTTGGAGTTTGAGAGAGTTTTCTTTAAGAAGAGAAGGTGAGAGAACAAAGAGAAACAATGAAAGAAGGTTGTTTGAGGAAAATAATGAAAGTTCCAGCACTGAGATCCTTTAAATACCCCTCCAAATCTGCGCGTTCTCGATTGAGCAAGCGAATTCTCACTCTCACCCAGGCGAGAAAACTAGACAGTGAAACAACTCAGTTTTCTGCTATTCTCGCCTGAGCAAAAGATACTTTCGCCTAAGCGAGTAGTATCTCATCTAGGCGAGAGACATTCTCGCTCTAGAGACATCTCTATTTTTTCTGTGATTCCTCGCCTGGCCAAGTTGCTTCTCGCCTGAGTGAGACTCCTTTCTCGCCTAGGCGAGAGAACAATTGTGACATCTTTATCCTATCTTACTTGAGCGAGAATGATCCAAAATGCCTTCTTTTAAAAAAACTCTATCTCGTTTGAGTGAGAACCCCTGCACCAAAATTTCTATCTTTTCCATATAAAGGCAGAAAATTTGAAGGTGTTACAGATACAAGTAAAATAATAAAAAAAATAATGAAAATCTTACCTTATGCACTTTTTTCAGGTACTTTTGTTTGCTCTCTATCTTTTTTATGTGTGGTTTCCCTGTTAGTTAGTTTTTCTTATATTTATATTATGTTATTTTTTCATTTTTACTCTTTTCAATGATATTTTTTTTTAAATATGTACTATACGAGAATAAGCAGTATTATTTTAAGAATTTTTCATTTCCCTCCAACTTTCTATTATTTTTATTCTTTCTCTACCCTTTTTTAATCTAAAAACACCTTTCTCCTATTTATATTTTTTTATTTTTCTTTATTATTATTTTAAAAAAATGTTTCATCATCTTTTCATTTGTTATTTTTCTCATAACTACTAATCAATTTTTTTCCCCACCATCTTATCCATTCTCTCAAAAATTTTACTCATTATTTTTATTATTTTAAATTTTTTCAAATTAATTTTATTCATTAATTTACTAATCTAAAATTCCAAAAAAATATATTATTTTTATTTTTTAAAATTTAAAATATTAAGTTTTAAATTCTTTCAGTTCGTATTCATTATCTTAACTTTACACAGATCTAATCATTATTTTAAATTTGAATTTAAAATTTAAAATATTTATTTTATTATATTATTATTTAAAATAATAATATAGAGAAAATTAATTATTCACAATAATTCATTAATTATTAAAACAAATAAAATAATAGTTGAGAATTGTCTTTTTGAAGACTTATTTGGAAGGATTTAATTAGTCGAGAGGATTTGAAATAAAAACCACTTCCTTAACTCTGTTTTCCATTAAGTATAGTAAATTTTGTAACATAATTATCCAACATTCTAACTTATATTTTTGTTTTATTGGATAATTCATTTTATTTGATAAATATTTCATAGTGACATGATAATCTATTTGTTATAGTGTTATAATAATTAAAATAATATTATTTGATTTTAAATTGAAAATTTGAGAATCGTAACAAATATCTGATTTTTTTTATTGATATTGAATTAACATTATTGACATAAAATATATTTTAATTGTGATAAAATATCTTTATCTAATTAAAATATCTAATTACAAGATATATTTTATATAATTATTAAAATATAAACTTTAAAATAAATGTACATTTGAATGATAATTTAATTAAATACTTATTTAATAAAATTTTATGATATAAGAAATTTATATTATAAATTTAACAATAAAATTTATTAACATAAATAAAAAGTATTTTATTTTAATAATTTATATAAAATTTTGCTAAAATAAATTAAAAATGCTTATAAAAGTTATAAATTATTTGTGAACTCTGTTGATGAAATTCCCAAACACCCTTGAAAAAGAGTGAAAAACATCTCTTTTGACAAAAAAGAAAAGAAAAGAAAAAAGAAACAAAAAAGAAACTGATAAATACGGGTGCGAGACGAAACGAAGTATATAAATGCGAGAAGAGAACAAGATTTTCAGAGTGGCTCCAATTTCCGAATCGTGGGGCACTAACAAGTAAAGCACAATTTCTGTTGTACCTGTGGGCATGAAACCCTAATTCACTTGCTTCTCGATCTTCGAAGAGCAATTCTTCCACGCTCGTCTTCGCTCTCCATCTGTAAGCTCAATCAATCCCTTTCAATCTACCAACCAAACCTACTCATCCTTTCAATTTTGCATTTTATTTCACATCGCTTTATTTTCGTTAAAATTTTCTGTTGTTATTGAATCTGGCATGTAATTCTCTAGTTGTTCACTCCCTTCCGTTACCCTAATTTTCTAGGGACAAAGATCCATCTGAAAATCTGTTACGAGCGTTTGTTGGACAATGGACGGGAACAAGGACGACGCGTTGAAATGCTTGAAAATCGGCAAAGAGGCGTTAGAAAACGGCGATCGGACACGAGCGTTGAAGTTCGTGACGAAAGCTCGCCGCCTCGACCCCACCCTTCCCGTCGACGATCTATTGTCTGCGATAGAGAAGGACACAGGGGATCCGCCCCCTGCTGCCGCCTACGCGGAGCCCACAAAGGGCCCCGATCAGCCCTCTATCCGTCGAAGGGCTGCGACGGTGCCATCGTCGTCCTCATCATCCTCATCGGTCACATATACCGAAGAGCAAATTTCAATTATCCGAGAGATTAAGAGGAAGAAGAACTATTATGAGATATTGGGATTGGAGAAAAGTTGCACTGTTGAGGATGTGAGGAAGTCTTATAGGAAACTGTCTCTGAAGGTTCATCCCGACAAGAACAAAGCCCCGGGCGCCGAGGAAGCGTTCAAGGCTGTGTCGAAGGCGTTTCAGTGTCTTAGCAATGATGAGAGTCGGAGGAAGTATGATCTTTCGGGGGAGGATGAATTGGTTTACGAGCAGCGAGCGGCGAGGCCTGCGGCGAGGGGTTTTAATGGTTATTATGAGGCTGATATTGATGCTGAGGAGATATTTAGGAACTTTTTCTTTGGAGGAATGGCTCCAGCAGCTAACTTTGGTGGATTCAGTTTTGGGCCTGGGATGGCCCATAGGCCTGCTGAACCTGGCTCTGGTGGCTTTAATGTTCGCGCTTTAATTCAGTTGCTTCCGGTTCTGCTCATTTTGCTAGTCAACTTTTTGCCTTCGTCGGATCCTATATATGTGCTTTCGCAGAATTATCCTTATGAACACCGTTTGACTACGCCCAAGGGTGTTAACTATTATGTTAAGTCTGCAAAATTTTCTCAGGAGTATCCACCGGGGAGCAATGAGCTTGCGGCAATTGAAGAAAGGGTTGAAAGGGAGTACTTCAGCGTTCTCCGCCAGAACTGTCATTTTGAGTTGCAGCGTCGCCAGTGGGGTTATATCCGGGAAACACCGCACTGCGATATGCTTCGGAAGTTTGGGGCGGCGAATTGATATGTTGAATCAAGGTCCTTATTACATTGTCTTTCCTTTTTATGTAGATGCAGCAGATTTACCTGCTTGTTATATTATAGGATGTACAATTTATTTTTCACTCTGATATTAGTGAAGCAAGTTCGTAATAAGCTGCTTTGACGGGATTGTTAGCTCTTGAGCTTCAACAAATATCTCTACCACGGGTCTTCCTTTACATTTTAAAATCATTCATTGCCAGAGATGTGAATGCATTGTGTCACATGTGTACCTAGCATTGTCTTTTTGACTGGTGTATTTTATATACTACTGCAGTGAGTGGAACACCATATGATAGAGCAAATCAGTAAGTACCTAGTATTGCTATATTGCCTTAATTAGTTCTGTTGGTTTTATTGCTGCAAATTTTGAAATTCTTTTGTATTAAGCTATTACTTTTAAGCTCTCTAATATGGGGATTTTTCTAACCTGCGCAGTATTGCAAAAGATAAAAAGTTATATACGGAAAGCTTTTATTTAAAGTTATGGAATTCAATGTTATTTAATGCATTGATAGTGTTAAATGCTACAATTTTCTATGAAAACTTACCTTATATAATTTTTTATATTGTGCAACATTGCATGTTAGAAAAATTGCTAATATAATTGCATGAATTGTATAAGATATTGGGTGATGAATGTTAAGAAATCATGTTTGTAATGGAATAAGGAGGGAAGTAAAGACGATGGATTACCTTACCTTGACGCTTTCATTATTTTCCATTGTCATAAAAAAGAAAGATCAAAGAACAATTACTACAGCCAATTATGTGTGGAGTAATTAATGTCATCTATACATATGATGGAAGTTTATAATTTATGAAGCTATGTAGCCTTCTTGGCTTCATTTATACTTGATAAGCTGATGCTCTCTAACTGACGGGTAATGGAGGCATAGTTGGATGGCTAATGAAAATCTTTATTTGACAAGTACAAGTCAAAGGCCTATTGCCATTGGGCATAATTTGTGTGTTGCAAGTTTTTTATGGTGATATGATTTAGTTTATCTATGAGCATGGAAATGGATATTTAGTGTTTGTGAGCAGCTTGATTCCATGAACGCATTGCCATGTAGGTCTGTGCTATAAGTTGATTTGCCTTTGCATTGAGATTTACCCTGTTTGAGTCTGATTGAAAGATGAATGAAGTGGAGATTGAGGAGAAACAGAACTTGGCCAAGCCAAGTAAGATATTTTGTGTTCTTTTTGGTTGGATTGGAATATGCCCTGAATAGTGGCATTTTCTCAGCTTGCCGAGACCTTGCAACTTCTTTTCTATTTTTCCCAAAAATAGTTTACAATATGGTGTAGGGCGGAGAAAGGTAGTTAAAAGAGGCAAAGCGGATATTTTCTAAAATAACAATCGTTTAGTCTTTTTCTTTTCTAACATATTTGGTGAAATAAAAAATGGAAAGATAAAAATGAAAAGTGACGTTTCTTTATTTTTTGATAAAATGAAAAATCAGGTGGGCAAATACTTAGAGAACGGACGGGGGAAATGAAATAACAGGCAAATAATTTTTTGAAATTTTTTTCTTTACTTGATGGAAAACAATTTATATTTAAGCTGCACATTTATATTTTTCTCTTTTGTAATTTTTTCTTGTGCAACTAAACGAGAAAAGAATGTTATATTTTTATATTATCCTTAACTTTTCTCCTCCCATTTTTTCTTGTAACAAAAACAAGTGAGTTTTTGACATTTTTGCTATGGCTCTTAGCCATAGGGGTGTACAAGAATTGATCGTTTTAAGCTGCTGATAAATTGATGCTAACAAAATCGAATATTGAAGAAATTGTTAATCGAACAAATTAAAAATTGAAAAGTTGCATTATTTTAATGGTTTGACCCGATTTTTAGTTTTCATATTTAAAATTAAACCAACTGGATTACAAAGATATTAAGTTATTAAATGTTCATATTTTGTAAGAAAAAAATGAAATTATTTTGATTTATGATTTCTAATTTACACTAAGTTATGATTTATTATGAGATTTAATATTTTTTAATATTTTTTCACATTTATTAGATATTTAACTTCTTATATTTAACCAAACTTGCCACTTAAATACAGAGTTAGCTACTAAATGAATTTATGTATTGAGATTTTGTTACTCTAATTAATTGAAGTCTACTTATTTAGTAATTAAAAAAATTAAAATTGTCTCCCTTAATAAATAAAAAAAATAAAAGAATTGATTCAATTTAAATAATCAGAAATTAGTTTGAATTGGTTTAGGTTTTATATTATTTTCAAACTAGTTTGGATTGAATTTCAAGTTTTATTTGGCTTATGCTAAAACAAGTTAGTAATTGAAGTTGTTATGAATTATTATACGAGTGAATGTCCATTTTTATAACTTCTCATATTTTTTGTAACTTATGATTTTATAACTATTTTGTTATCTCATTTAAAGAGATGAAATGCTTCGATTCCAGATCTAGGGCTATAAAAGTATCTTATTTGTATTGAGGCAAGGTGATGTAAAATAAAATTGAGATTATTTCTTCCTCTCTATATTTTTCACTCTATATTCTCACTTACTCCTTATAATTTTACATTAATTTCATAACATGTTATCAGCACCAAGCTCTTGTAAACACTTTTTTAAGAAATGAATATTATTGAATAAAGCATGAGACTCTAGTACACACTTTTTCAAGAAAGGAACATTATTGAATAAAGGTACGATATTATTTCATTTTTATTTTTTTTATAGAAATATATATCATTATTTGTTTATTTTAATCCCAATTAAAACTGTGTGGAGAAAAAGTTTTTGATGAGGATACGTTAGAAAAATTATCTCAAATAATAAATGTGTGTTAGAAAAGTTATCTTCTTTTTCTTCTAGTTTATATTACACACATATAAATATAATTGAAAGACATTATTGTAAATCAGAAGTTTATAAATCATGATAATTTTTTTATTTGGCATGAACAGTTAGGTCATCCTGATCAATCATGATGCAAAAAATAATTGAAAATTCATGTGGACATTCATTGAAGAGCTAGCACATTCTTCAATCTAATAATTTCTCATGTGTTACTTATTCCCAAGAAAAATTGATTAGTCGACCGTCACTAGTTAAAATTGGAAATGAATCTATCATATTTTTTGAACATATACAAGGTGATATTTGTGGACTAATACACCCATCATGTGGACCATTTAGATATTTTATGGTTTTAATTGATGCATCAACTAGATAATCGTATGTTTGTTTATTTTCAACTCTCAACTAGGTGTTTGCAAGATTACTTGGACAAATAATTCGTTTAGAAGCTCATTTTTCTGATTATCCAATTAAGAAAATATGCCTTGATAATGCTAGTGAATTTACATCTCGAGCTTTTAATGATTATTGTATGTCTATTGGAATTGATATTAAGTATCTTGTAGCACATGTACATACTTAAAATGGACTTGTTGAATCACTAATCAAGCGTTTAAAATTAATTGTAAGACCATTACTAATGAGATCAAAACTTCCAATTTCTACTTAGGGACATGCCATCTTGCATGTTGAAATACTTATTCGCATCAGGCCAACAAGCTATCATATGTTATCCACTTTGCAATTAGTTTCTGGTCAACAACCAAATATTTCTCATCTTAGAATTTATAGATGTGCAGTGTATGTTCTTATTGCTCCACCACAACGCACTAAGATGGCTCCATCACAACAAAATATTGTTCCAATTGTTGGCTATGAATCTTTATCTATAATAAAATACTTTGAGCAAATGACAGAGAATTTATTCACCGCTCGATTTTCTGATTGTCATTTTGATGAATCACTTTTTCCTACTTTAGGAGGAGAAAATAAGCATTTGGAAAAGGAGATAAGTCGAAATAAATTATCTTTATCTCATCTTGATCGTCAAAAAAATAGTGTGAATTAGAAGTTCAAAAGATGATTCATTTGCAAGGTTTAGCCAACCAACTACCAAATGTGTTTATGAATCCAAAAATAGTGACTAAATCATATGTTTCGGCTACTAATGCTCCAATTAGAAACAATGTTCTGATTAGACAATCTAATGTTGCAAATCAATCTGAATCATGTATGAAGCGTGGTAGACCTTTCGGTTCCAAAGATAAAAATTCTCTGAAAAAGAAAAGGAACTAAGAATCAAGGCGACCAAAATGAGGATGTAAAGACTCCAGAAGAATCATTAGACATAATCAATATTTTAGTTCCTGAAGAAACACAGGTACCTGAAAATGATGAAAATAAAGAGATCTTGATAAATTATATCATGAATAGAATACAATGGAACTGAAATGAAGTCAATGTTGATGATATTTTTTCACTTAACGTAGCATTGGATGTGATAATTGTTATAGAAGATCATGAACCAAAATTAGTCAACGAGCGTAGACAAAGAAGTGACTGAGAAAAATGGAAAGATGCAATTGAGGTAGAATTAAAGTCGCTTACAAAATATCAAGTTTTTGGACCTATAGTTTGTACACCTGAAGATGTAAAGCCAATTGGATATAAATTGATTTTTGTGCGAAAATGAAATGAAAAAGGTGAAATTGTGAGATATATAGCATGACTTGTTGCCCAAGTTTTTTTTGCAAAGACCTGACATTGATTTTGAAAAAACATATTCACCTGTAGTGGACGTAAATAGTTTTTGACACTTAGTCAGTTTAGTAGTAAATGAAGGACTTGAATTGTGATTAATGGATGTTGTTACAGCCTATTTGTATGGCTCACTTGATAATGACATTTATATGAAACTCCCTGAAGATTTTAATTTGCCAAATGCATACAATTCAAATTATAGAGAAGGTTATTCGATCAAGTTAAATAAATCACTTTATGCATGGAAACAATCTAGACGCATGTGGTATAATCACCTTAGCGAATATTTGTTGAAGGAAGGATATAAAGATGATCCTATTTGTCCATGCATTTTTATAAAAAATCATCTCATAATGGATTTGTCATGATTGCTGTTTATGTTGATGATTTAAATATCATTAGAACTCCTAATGAGATTTTAAAAACAGTAAATTACTTAAAGAAATAATTTGAGATGAAGGATCTTGGAAGGGAAAATTTTTTGTCTTGGATTATAACTTGAATATGTAAAGAATGAAATTTTTATGCATCAAGAAACTTATACTAGAAGGGTGTTAAAATGATTTTATATGGATAAATCACATCCATTGTGTACTCTAATGGTTGTAAGGTCACTAGATGTAAACAAAGATCCTTTCAAACCTCTGGAGAAGGATGAAGAACTACTAGGTCCTAAAGTACCTTATCTTAGTAAAATTGGAGCACTAATATATCTTGCTTGTCATACACGACCTAAAATATCATTTGTTGTTAACTTATT